ATCACGTGATCCTTTCTAACAGTTATGGTTCATGTGAGGTGGGTGACAAAAAAGACAGGCAGAAAGTTCCAGACATGACACTCTGCCTACCACAAAGGATGCTAGTAGCTTTTAGTCTTTGACCATGATAACAGACACAACTTCCTCACTGCCATCATCTTACTTCCCATGAGGTCCAGCTGAACGGAATTCACACAGACTGCAAAGTCGGGGGATAAAGACCCTCTGTGGGCCATGCAACTTAGGAGGGAAGAAACTCACCCAACATCAGAAACAAAAGAATCCTGAGTGAAAGCTCAAAATGCAGAGGCAGAAGATGCAATGGGACAGCGTTAAATTTGATTGACCTATTGAAGAGCTCTCAAAGGTGACAGAGAGAGCCCATGTTCTGGATATGTGTCAGGGTGGAAATTGAGAGTAGGTGAGAGAGAAGTTAGGGGCAAGTGGGCATCCATATGCAGTATAGTGACAGGACCAGCAGTGGAGAGGGGAGCTTTACAGCATCCGCTCCACGCTAAGGATTCACCTGCTCCTTTGGTATTTCCTTGAGAATACAGATTGATTGCTGGGAATGGATGTGAATGCTGGTATTTTCTGGTTGCTGAATTATTTCTTTGGAATACTTAGCAGCTATGTGATTGCAGGTCCAAGTCAATAAGCAGGGTGCAAACTAAAGTTTAGAAATACACAGGTAAGATTCTCTGCTTTTCCCACTGGGCTGTTTCTACAGTTGTTCTTGTGAGGGGTACATTTTGGAGAGTCTGCCAAGCGCATAACACTCTCTACTTTGACACTGTCTGTTACCTCCTCCGTAAGAATTAGCTCTCTGCCACGATGCTAGCATTGAGCACTCCACTTCGGCCCTGTAGTGCTTCGCGGGTCCAGGAATGAGTACACAGGATGAGTATCTGATTCAGAGTGGACCAGAAGAGTAGTGGGAAAGAGATTCAGTGACAGAGACAGCAATTCAGGAGCTGTCAAAAGTGGCATCCGTGCCAAAACTGCAGCAAAAGCAGAAGAACAAAGGGAGGAAATTAAGTGCACAATGGAAATGGCCTTAACATAGGGCTAGAGACCTGAGTCTTATTGGCTTTCTTAGGCCAGGATCTCATGAAGACGCTGCCCTTGGGCACTTTTTTTTTAATTTAAAAATTTTTATCAGTACATGTTTGCAGTACATAGCGACTACATTCATCGCTGGGAATTGGAACATGCCCAGAACACATCATAATACTTTTACTTTATTTCTCTTTCCTCTGCCCTCCCTCCACTCTCCCTCTGCCTTTGGACTCTTGCAAGATATATACTGTTTTTCAAATGAACTATCCCACCTCCTTTTTTTTTTTTTTCTTGTTAGCTTGAAGTAAGATTTGATTACTTAAAACCCAAAGAAATGGCCCTAAGACAGTTGCCCTTTATGGTTCAAATTCCTCAGGTTATTGAGTTTACTTTCTAGTACTTTTATCTTGTCTGTTTGCTAACTTGCGTGTGAAGGGTACACAATTGCCCATCAATCCTGGAGATCTGTTTTATCTCCAGAATCAACCACCCAGCAGAAAAATGGATATCTGCTGGTATTTCACATAAAAGCTCTTTAATCATCTTATCTCCTATTGGGTAAGTTTGTGTCATTTAATAATTTAACTCTCTCTCCCTAACCTTCAGTCTGTGTTTGCCTTTGGTTCTGTATCCACTCTAGCTTCTGATAAGCTCTGCTGCCTAAGCTCATGTATGGACATCTCTCTGAGACAGAATTAGCTATTGCTAGCAGTTATGCAGGGATAGGTTTTCCAAAAGGACCAATGCTAGGGCAAAAATATACTAGTGTCAACTTTATACATCAGCTAGTGAGGTCTTGGGAAGCAAATACTTTCACCCCGAAGCTCAGTGTCAGGAACTGCACACGGGCTCATGAAGATGAGGATTTCTGGCACTGACAAGTTCAGGGCAGTTTTCCTTGGAAGGTTCTTTCAGCTTGCTTGATACCTGTGGAAATATGCAGTTTCCCAGGCTGTGTGGATTTAACCTTTCTAATGCTGGGCCAGGGGTGGAGAGTTTTAAATACTCTACCTGCATGATTTTGATGTATAGAAAACTTTAGCTATTATCCACTGATAATGATGCTCACATGCTTGTTAGACTGTATTTCACAATAAGCTCACTCGTTTCTTTCATATAGTACACTCCTAGGAAAATCAGCCTAAGTATTTTATCTTTTTGAAAACTGTCACTCCTGAGAAAAAATGAACACATCCCAATTTCTCCAAAATTGGATTATAAATCCCTGAGTCAAACCTCTCTATCCAGACCAATGGAACTCCTTACCAGAACTGGCTGAAGTACATGGGACTGGAGATGATTTTTTAGTTGGTTTAATTTTTCCCAGAGACTTGGAAGAAAATGACAAAGTGTAAGGCAGAATCTCATGACCTTAAAGGCACTTTGATCACGGGGGGCATGATCAAAACCCATGCTGATCAAACATATGATCAAAACAAATTCTACCCCAGACCCACTGAGGACGGGGCTTCTTAATCAGTTCTGCAAACAATTTTTACACACGGTAAGGCCTAGGTCCTGCCCTGGAGGTCTCTAATTCCTACTTAATGCTTACACGAGAAGATGATGAACAGTCTTAGACCAGGCACCAATGCCATCTAGCTTCTGTTATCCTTTTCTCTGGGTAATATACTAAGAATGATAATAACAGTAGCAACGGCGATTGTGCGTTCAGCTCTTACAGCGGCAGACACGGTGCCAAGAGCCTCATATAGTCCAGTAGCCACACAACACTGTGGAGACATCTGTTATTGCCCCATTGGGTAGGTTAAAAATGAGTCTCAGGGAGGATACAGATGTTTCCCAAACAGCTAGCGAGTGGTTGAGATGGAAAATGTTAAAGGGGCACAGGGACAAAAGAAAAGTAGCATAGCTGGTGTTCAGAATTCTTCCTTCTCGTTTTAATTAGGGCTGAAAGGAAAATGACTCCAGCTAAGCGATCACACAGGTGTGCGTTGTAGCAGTGCATCTGTGCAGGGGTGAGTTCCACAGTGGATGGTCAGCTGAGAGGAACACCTGCAGGGCAAAGCGGGCTTGGTCTGCAGGAGCAGGAGTCCCGGGAGCCATTGCTGTGGTCAGTTCGGGCCTCTCTGGACCCGTCAGTCTTTGTTCTCTCATCTGTGGTCTGAGCTTCTGCTTCAGGCTCCTTCTCTGACCCTCGCAGGCCTGTCCCCACCCCTGGCTCCTCTGTGCATTCTCTTAGTTGGTTTCCACAGCTCAGGGCCTTCTCTCTGAATTTTTTACATCCAGGAGAGGGGTAAATGAATAGTCTGATTTACCATGCTATAGAATGCAGGATAGGTACCATTCCTGACTGCAATTATTTTGGCTGAAGAGAAAGAAGCCAAGGCCATTTAGTAGGGTACAGCTGCCACAAGGCCACATTGCCCAGGAGGATCTGGGAGCAGGACAGGCATCGGAGCTGCCTCTTCCAGTGTAAGCCCTTGGCCAACACCTCTTGGGTGCCCTCGGGTGCAATCTCTGGCCTGCATCTCCCAAGTTCTTGAGGTCAGGTGGAGACTCTCTGCCAATCCAGAGTTCTTCTGCAGTACAAGGACACTCTGTAAGGTGCTTTAAGGTGGGGTTTTGATTGTTCTGCACGTTACTATCTCCCAAGCATCTAAAGCAGTGTCTGGCATAGAGAAAGTCCTCAACAAACACTCATGTGAATGAATCAGTGATGTGGTGCCTCCAGCAACTAACTACCAAACATGCAAATCAGACACGGGGAAAACAGACTTACACGCTGATTTGGTCCTGGCTTCCAGACAGTGTGGACATCACCCTAGCCAGAGCACAGCGGAGACAAAACCACTTATTTGCTTAAGAGTAAATACAAATATTTCTGGGTCATCTTCTGGTTTCAATTGTGGCCAACAATGGAGGGTTTGCTGTGTGGCCCAGACAGGAATCAATTTTCAGAATCCACAAAGAGCAGGAGCTAAGAGGGCGATGCTCTTAAACTGCCAGTTCTCAGCCCAGGGTGAGCCTGTCCTCAGAGGCCTTCTGCTAATGTGTGAACACAATTTTAAGAAGATTGCTGTGAAGTAAATATAATGTAAACATTTACCACCCTAACTATGTTTAAAGCACACAGGTCAGTAGTAGGTGCACTTACATTGCTCGGCAGCCATTCTTGAAACTCTATCCCTAACAATACTGAAACTCTACACTCATTAAATAACTCAATTTTCCCTCCCTTCAGTCCCTGCTAACCACCATTTGAATCTGTGTCTCTTTTGAATTTGACTCTAGTTACCTTATTTACATAGAACCATATAGTATTCGGGACTGGTTTAGCTCACATGAGATGCCTCCACCCCGCTACCTCACACTCCCCTCCCTACAAGGCTGAATAGCCTCCTGCCTAACGGCCATTCCATACCCTGTCCACTGGGGACACCTGGGTTGCCTTTGCTCTTGGTTGTTGTAATGTTCCTATGAACACAAGTGAATGAATATCTCTTTGAGAACCTGCTTTCAATTTCCTTTGCGTGTGTATGCAGCAGCGGAAGTGCTGGATCACACAGCGATTCTATGTTTAATATTCTGAGGAAACACCATACCATTTTCCACAGCCTTACCAAGTATTTTGTTTTGTTTTTGTTTTCTTAAAAAAAAAAAAAGTACCTCCCTAATTGTCTCAGTGTTGGAAACATTTTCACTTGTCATGCTAGGGCACTAGTGGGTCGACACCAGTGACAGTGCTGAACGATCTCTGGTCCTACAGCACACTGGACGATCCTCTGCAACGGAATATTAAGGACCCAATACCCAGGGGGAGCCAGGGTGCAGGGAAAGTCAGATTTAAACATTCAGGCTCACCTTGCATGGTGAATCTCGCCCCACAATACACGTGGCCTCTCCTTGTTGAGATGGTCAAAGGATAAGATCACCCCCCAAATCTGGCATGTGAGGGAGGTCTGAGAAGAATGGCAACATTTCTTTTATTCAAATTTTATTGGAAGTTTACAAATGTATTACAGACATCAGTAAAACATCATATCCATTTTACAGGGCACGGATCTCAAGCAAAATGTTCAGAACAGTCTCTGGCAGAGCCCACAGCAAAGGCCTGTGGAAGGCCTTCTTAACAACACACAGCTTTACACTTGACACACAGCAGATTCCAGCCTGCCTCGCCTTCTCAGGCCCTTTGAAGTTTGGTTTATGCACGCAAAATCAAAGCAGGAGGTGGGCAAAGGTTAGGGGGGAATACTGTCAAAGCCCTCATTTTCCAGAGAAGAGGGAGGACCCACAGGCTTATGAATATTAAGTTAGAAGTCTATGATAGAATCGAGGGTACTTTAAGGAAAAATATGGAAATCCATATGATAGGGCTGAGAACAGATCTTATTGGTAAGTAACTCTGAAAATTTCCGAGAAGCTTGATCAGTGACCTACTGACGTCATCCGCCAAATGCCCAGTGAGTGAAAGACAGCTCAGAAAACTCCCAGGCAGAACAAGACCGTTTTCCTATCCTACTGATTCATCATATAGAAATCACAGAAATGTTCCCTAACACTGTGTGACTTTTCTCTCCTTTTTATTCCCTTGAGCAAAGCTAGTTTTGTTGGTAGGAAATGAGCTTATAAAACTGTACAGCTCCCAACAGTGAGTCACGTTGTACGGGAGTCTCATCTTCACTGAACTACTCTTGTGGGAAAGTGGAAAAAGGATGGAATCCTTTTTTTGATCTTGACCTTGATAATAACTTCTCAATGGTCATGCTGCCATGCTTTGGTGTCTGCTGAGGTCCAGAGGGACAAATTCCTTCATTTCCACTGTTCATGTACTGAAATAAATGGACCTCAAAAGGTGGCAGCCTACAATGCCTTCCAAGTCGGCAGTGCAGGCTCGTGGAAGCCATCTGCAGAGCCCCTGTTAAAGTTCTGGAGAGCCAGGCAGTTGCCAGCGGCAATTCTTGCTACGCCCAGTATCTGGATAACTGGTTCATTTTTCTACTTTCCTGGCCCGTGGTTGGATCCTCCTTCTCAGGCAGAAGCATCTGGTTTCTGTTAGAAATGCACAAGGAGCATTTCTCCTTTAGTAATTTAAATGTCTGTTTCTTCTCTCATTAGAAGGTGTGATTAGATATGAAAACTTCTTACTTGAGCTATGCAGAATGAATGAAGGCCGCCTATGCTAATTGGTAAACAACATGAGTGTAGAAAAGGAGGATGAAGAAATCTGTCTTTATTTATTTCTAGGTCAGCTTCCTTCAGCCACCAGCATCTGCAGGATGGAGAACATGGAGTCTCCCAATTATTCGTGATTGATGCTTCCTAAATATTGAGTGTACTGTTTTTATTCCATGCAAGAGAGCCAGGGCAGGAAAACAGATAAGAATCAGTTAATAAGTAAGATTTGTTACCAAATAAGATCGGTTCTAATCAACTGGTCCTGGCTGGCCAGTGTGGCCAAAGACTTCTGAGGCTGTGTCCATGTTTTTGTGGAAGGCACACAGCAACATCTTTCTGACTTCTGCTCAGGTGGCAGGGTGGGCAGAACAAGAGCCTGTATGTGTGATTACTGGCCCTGCGCAAGCTCAGTGATGGCTAGCAGAGCCCAACGAGCGAAAACTCCTGTAGGAGAAGAAATAATCACCTTATTATGGCACAGGAGGGGAGAAAGTACTGCTTCCGTCTCATATTAGAAAAACAAAACTACTGGTTCACTCAACTAGTTGGAAAGAGAAAGGAATGACCACAGAATAAAAAAGGTGAATGTGGAAAGAAGGTATCAAGAAACCAACACCAAGGCCTCTCCCTTGGACATGTGGAAAACCAGGACACATGGTCTGATTCTCCTCACTGTGGTCTCCTTCACACTTGGTAGAGACCACAAAGCTAAATGACAGAAAGACAGACCTTGACTGCCATGCTCAGAGCCAAAAGGTTGCACAGTTCCAAGGGTGGCCTCGATGACGGATGCTTCCTGGGCCTGAAAAGAATCTAGTTCTGTGGCCACCGAACCCAGCAGCATTAAGAAGTGGATGGAACTCTAAAGATGCAGATCTAACCAAAGGCAAGTCCAGGGATGAAAGAGGCTGAAAGAAAACCAGTCAAGACATCAGAGGAGAGGAAACTGGGAAAAGGTGGCTCTTCTGAAAACCAGCCGAAAGCAAATGGTAATCTCCCAGAGGGGAGTGCGGTCCTGCTCAGCAGAGCACTTGATCAGGGAGAGCTGAGGGTTACAGTGAGGAATCACGGGAGAACCTCAGGTTCTCACCTTGGAAGAAGAGTGCACTGAGTTCCTGGGAATGTGTCCTAGAATGGTACGTGTAAGTTTTCACTGACAGAAGGTAGATGTCTCAGTACAGTGACATCCGGTCTTCCTGGGGTACTCAACTAGAGCCCCCACCATCATGGGGAGGAACTGGTCCTCCATCAGTGAGCCTCTCTGTAAGGCCCCCTACTGAAGAAATCTGCATGGCAGGAGAGCTGGAGGTCATCTCGCTAGTAGAGTGTGACCCTTGAGCTCACATCTCGACATCTGTTCAGCTCTAGCTGGGGAAATCCCTGGACATGCTCCCACAGCAAGGCCTGAGGTGATTCCTGTGCACCCAGGTCCCTGTGGGTAAGGCTAGGTCAATTTCAAGGCCGCCTTTTTTGCTGCTGATGGTGAAAATCTTGTTTGGGAAATGTAAGAGCTACTTCTTTAAATGGGAGAATTTCTTTCACTGGATTTGGGGCCACAGAGGATAAACACATTTGCAACCATTTGCTAACTTAACAGATTGACCTTTCCTGTTTTTGTCTTTTCCAACAATGCCTTTTTATTTGTGACCAATCAAGGAACTCAAAATTCGCAATTGGACTCACTCAATTTCTACCAGAAACCTGCCACTTGAGTAGCACGGTGTTACGCATAATTTCTTAATCAATTTGCCAAGCAGTTTACAAACCTACTATACAAACGCATTAAAGTTAATTCTCCAGAGGCTTGGATAATTAATGAAGCATTTAGATATGAAGATAGCATGCGGAAAATAGTCACAACCAACATTTGCATTGCTTTTCTAAAAAATCAGTGACAATGACAAATGTCATATTAATACCTGAAAAGCAAATTATTTTAAAACATCCTGAATGGAGTGTCATTATTGTGTTCTTTACAGCTTTCCTTTCCCCAGACCCATCTGGGATGGCATCTGAAAGCCGCTTTTCACATTCCCTCCATAGAAATACTAGAAAATGTTAACTACTATACTGAAAAGGGACCACGCTCACCTCACCACGGCAGATGGCCACTGAGACACACCGTGGACTACGTGGACAGAACAGCGCACTAAGGGGGTCCTCGGTTGGAGCATTTCCACGGCTACAATCCACTGAGGGGAAGAGGAGGGGGCGGGACCAAGAGCAAGTGCTTCAGTTTTAACTGAAGCTAGGCAGGAAATTCTATTTTACTATAAACAGCACAACCGTTCAGTGTCGTCTGTAAGCAAACTCACTTTTGAGCCCGTTTTCTGTCTGACCAACAGTCTTCGAAGTTCACAATGGAAATCTCTCTTAACAAAGTCTGTTTCTCTGACTCCTAACCCTGAAATCTCAGCAGCCCGCCTTCCGGGGTGACCCAGCCACTCTGCTTACAAAGTTTGTTAAACTGGATTCTCTACTAACGCTAGGGGGCTACTCAAGGCCAGCGTGGCCCCTCCGTTACTTCTGTCTTCTTCCGACCCCCACTCCTCTGACCCTTTTGCTAACTTCATCCAGACTGCTTGTTCCTCTCTGTTGGGAGCAGGCCACACACCATCCTGCCTGCGGCCCCCCGGAACCCATCTGTCCCTCAGTTCCAAACGCTCCAGTTCATTTGCTCTGAGGACAACCGGTTGTCAGGCTAAGGCAGCAGCTCTGTCTGCCTTGGAGAAGGAAAGCAGGTAATACAATCCAGGAAACATGAGCACCAGAAAATAATGTCAGAACGACGTCATGCTGACGGCACACAAGGGCACCATTTACGGTCACCTAGGTTCCCCCGAGGGACAGATCAAGATTAAGCAACTTCAACGTTCCCAGCTGGGATGGCGTTTCTCACGGGACTGTACTGACCCAGCAGAAGTTACTTTCGCAATTAAGAAAAGTACTATCACTTTGTAGAGAATAAATTCTACAGGGGGTGGGCGAGTGTTTAAGGATAGCTCCCCAAGGTGGAACAGAGCATCAAATGCTTTGGGAAGAATAATTTTTTTTCAACTACAAAAAGCCAATTGAATATATTCCTTTGAAAAAAGTCTCACTGACATGTAACAAATTTGTATAGAAAAAAAAAAGGTGGTCCTGGGCCACCTTTGAATACTACTCAAAGACAAGGCTGGATGTGCATGCAAGTCCCCGCTACGATATAGAAATTCTTTGATATTACAAAATACAAAAATATTTTATCAGAACTCTCATTTACATTGCATTTACAATGGACAAGTGAATAACTTAGTCTCAGGTTCTGGCTAATAAACAAAATTACTTACTGGAAAAGGGGTTCTAAAAGGAAGTGAACTGGAAAGATAGAAGCGAGCGGGGAACAGTTTGCCGTCTGTGAGTGGCCACCAAAACAGGACACGAGGGGAGTGGTGACCAGCCCTAGCTTCCAGAGTCTATTCTGTTTCCAAAGGTTAATGTGCAAACAAAGTTCAACATGCCGAGAACGGTGACTACCCATGAGTTTCTCTGCGACCTCGCGGCCGCCAGCCGAGAGCCTGACCTCCCCAACGGGCCACCCCCAAGCGCCCTAAGATCAGCAGTGCAAGTTTCTGAATCTACATTCTTAGCCCCCGTTTCTCCGCACCCCGACACCACCTTATTAGGAAATGATACAGTTTTTGCTCTTTTGTCTTTTCCTGCTGTGCAACTGTCCACGGCCGCCCAAGGTGGAGGACTGGGGGACCCCGTAGGAGCTGTACTTGTGCAGCAGCTCGTCGCTGGTGACATACCGCAGGCGGGCCGGCTGGGGGATCGGCTCGCCGAGGAAGTAGCCTTCGTTGTCGGACTCGGATGAGGAGGAGCAGGTGGAGCACCAGTCGTACTCGGTGAAGTAGGGTCCCCACCGCTCCCCAAAGGCGTTCTGCAAAGCCAGGTCCGACACAGTCCGGGGGCACTGGCCGTACAGGTCCCGCCGGGACCCAGGGCCCAGGCTCTCCTGGAAGCTGCGCTGGCGCACGAACTGGTCGTAGTCCTCCCGGGCGCGCAGGGGCGGCCGCTCCTTCAGCCGCGACAGCGCCTCGCGCTCGCCGGCCAGGTGCAGCGCGTTGTCCGAGCGCGAGCGGCGCGAGCGGCGGGAGCGGTGCGGGCGCGGCCGGCGCGCATCGCCTTCGCGCGAGGTGGCTCTCCGCCGGGTGCGCTCGCTCAGTGGCTGCATCCGTGCGCCCTCTGGCCCCGGCAGCTGGCCGCCCGTCAGGCCCCCGTCGAAGTCGAAGCTCTGGTGCATGCGTCCGCGGCCCTGCAGGTCTCGGTACCCCACGGGGGTGCCGAGCTGGTGGAGGTTCCCCTCCATCTCCTGGTACTGCTGCGCAGACAGCAGGCTGCGCACGGATTCGGCGCTGCGGAACTGCATGGACGAGTTGAGGGTGCCCATGGTGCTCAGCTTCTCGGACACGTTCATCCCCGAGTCCTTGCTGAGATCAGGCATGGAAAAGCGGGACAGGTGCTCCTGGCGTTTGGCACCGCCTTCAGCAGAGAAGCCTGGGGGAGAGACAAGAGAGCCACGGAGTCAGCACAGACGCAGAGGGGTGGGTGGATGTGCGTGGCTGTGCTTGGGCGTCCCTATCTAGGTAGAGCACAAACACCCGCCCAGAGGGAGCACGCGATGTGTACTCTGTCTGGCAGCAGCAGGGCGTGGAGGTGGGGCCCGAGCGATGAGGCTTAGCAGCTTCTTGCCCTTCCCGGGGCCTCGAAGCCCACTATGCATCTTACACCGTTTCTCCTATTTAGAACTTAATGATGTACTTTAGGCACCTCGATGATTCTAGGGCCGTACCAGCACTTACATAGGACTGATAATCTGGACAAAGAAACATTAAACTACAGAGACTGGGCCATGTCCAACTCCTCCTGGCAACACATAACCAAGAATCCAGTTCGAAGATCCAGGTCCCGTTTTAGTTACCCTGCAGGGGTTTCCTGCCCTTCCTGTTGTCCCTAGGTGACAGGTAGCTCTCTCTCAAGGGCCTTAGACACCGACTCCCTGTTCAATGAAGGACTGCTCCAAGGTTACACAACGGTCAGGAGTCGTGAGTGGGGACCCTGTGACAACCCTCCACCTTCAGGGAGGCACTTTTAAAAACACAGCAGTGATCCTAATGCCTCTCTCAGCGCAGGTTCCCTGAGCAGTGGGCCTGTGTTTCCAAGGTGCTATCAAATAAGCTCCTGGCAGCACCAAGGTAAAAACCATGTGAGGGTGGTGGAAAACACTGGCTTCAGTAACTGGAGCTTCGCTTGTGTTTAGGAGGAGATGTGAAAGAATGCACCAGGCGGTGACGCATCAGCTCTCCCTCCCCACTAAAAGGATCACTGCTTTTGTCATTTCTGGTCTCTCCAGTGGTTCAGAAATGAGGGTGTGTGTGTGTGTGTGTGTGTGTGTGTGTGTGTGTGTGTGTACACCTTGTGCATGTGAGTGCCAAAGATCAGGGAAGCAAAATGTTAGCAACAGGTGCACCTAGGACGAGATGACCTTACAGTTTGCTCTATTTTTGCAATGTTTAAATAGTTGGAAGTGATTGTTTAACAAACTGTAGTGTGTTCATATGATGTGATGACTTCTGGACACAGTGTGGAAATACTGGGGGACATGTTTGGTCATTCTGACTAGGCAGGGTGTGAGCAGTCTTGTAGGCAGAAGCTTTTGCACAGCCCGCAATGCTCAGAATCTGCCACCCGTAAGAATGATCCAGCCAACATGTAAACAATGCCAGAGATGACAGAGCCTGAATATAATGGAATGTTACACAATAGTGAATAATGAATGAATAATTACGTCTAGCAACATAGATGAATGGCACAGAAAATGTAGAGGGACACTTAAAGAATATGTTCTGTATGCTCCCCTTTGTATGACAACCAAGGACAAGCTAAAGCTGTGAATGATGACAGAAGTTAGGGAACGGGCACAACTGAAGTTTCTGGGACACTGGAATGGTTCCATGGCTAGTATTGGATGGAAGTTACAAAAGGACATATGGGGGTATAGTTTTAATACTTGTTTGCTTCACTTCATGTAAGTTACATCTCAATAAAAATATAAAAATAAAGCAGTATTAGTGAAGGAGTCAAAGTTTAACACTGACTTGGGACTTCCTATGGAAAACGAGTTATCCACAGGGAAGACAGGTTCCAAGACTCCCTGGAAACCAAATTCCCTAGGTGCTCAAGTGCCTTTATAAAGGACACAGCATTTCTGTGGACCCTACATACAAATTCCCCTATGCTTTAAATCACTGTTGGATTACTTATGATGGAAATGCTACACAGCAGTTGTCACCCTGTTATATAGGGAATCAGGACAAGAAGGCTGTGCCTGTTTCATGCATATGCAACCACCTGGGGTTTGCAGACAGACAGATGGCCAACAGGATTCTGCCAAATACTGCATTCAGTGGAAATTTTTGAAGATCATTTCATTACTAGGATATCTGTCAGGGCAAGAGGTGCTGGGTCCTCCCACTTCTGCCTTCCTTGCTGCTTATCTCTGACATGGGAATCATAAAAGCTGATTTACAACCACTTAATCACTTCCAGAGCCTCCCAATCCGCAGGCGGAGGGAGAGGATATCACGCTAAGATGATGTATGAGGCGTCTGAGCAGATGAACTCTAGCAAGGAAAGGAAGTCTAGGAACAAAAGGTATCTATGTGGGCACCAGATCCTTAGGCTTTCTATCCAAGCTCTTGAGTGGAATTAGAGTCAGCTACACAACCTGGCCAATACCATACGTTTCCAAATATGTGCTTCACTGAACTCGTATTTTATGAACCCTGCCCTGAGAAACGCTGGCAAAAGCAGAGCTGGCAGGGTGTGCCTTGCTTGCACCCAAGTCTACTATCAGTTTTGCCTACAGGAAAGCTACTCTCCTGGGGGAAGCATGCATGGGACTGCAAATGCTCTCTGCTCTTTCCAGCAAGGAGAGACATCTCTTCTGACTCATTCATTAACTTCCATTTTCCTCTGGGATTTTCTTGCACGCAGAGGCAGAGACAGAAAGGTGCATGTTTCCCAAAGAGTGTGTTCTGGCCTCTAAAAAGGGCAGTTCTGTGGTTGATTTCAGCATCTTCATGAACACCTATGTGACTTGGCTCCCTCATCTCTCCATCAGCAGCAGCAGCAGCTAGCACTCCTCTCTAACCCTGCCTTGGCTGTGCTCCTCCTCCTCCAGCACACTGACAGCAATTTCTCTCGCCCCTGAAGCCCTCCCCTCCGTTCATTTGACTTCTTCTGTCTTCTGGAGACTGCAGAGAAGCTGCCTTCCCAGTGGTGGCTGCACTGACCATCTCTTCAACACAGCAAAGTCATTTGTCCCCTGACCAGTCAGCCACTCTCGCGCTTGACCTTTTCTTAAGCTGCCCACCCTGACCTATTTGCTTAAGTTTGTGCCTATGTTTGTAGGTGAATGTGTGTGTGTGTGTGTGTGTGTGTGAGAGAGAGAGAGAGAGAGAGAGAGAGAGAGTTTTTGCCCTGTGTTCTCTGTACTCCCACACAACTAGCAGTGCCCAGAATGTTGTTGTGCTCCATACATCTTTTAGAATGAAGGCAAATGAATCCTCCTGCTGCCCACAGCTTGTGCAAAGCAACCACCCTGACCTGGAGTGAGTCAGGGCTGTAATTCAGATGGGCAGAATTCCAAAAATCAGGAACAAAATTCCACGATTACACTGTCACTCATGTCCTTGCTAGGTCACTAGCCCGTGACCTAGGCTTCTATAATCTAAAGCAGAAGGTGGTGTGGTTTACAATTCATTCCCTGAACTACAAGAATATCTTCACTTGGTGAGTCTGAGCTCTGGAGAGCTGTACACTACCAGTTCCCAGGCTGATAGATGGACTGTACTGTCACAGCTCACATTCCTGCTCCACAAATGCCTCCTTACTCTCACGTTCACACATGCACAGAAATGCACAGCCACCCCCTGGCAGTGGGACCTAGGGCAGTTTTTAAACCTCCTAAGGTACACGGCAAATGGGCACATTAACAGTATCTGAGTGTCAGCGGCAATGATGGTGCAATGACAAAGAATGTGCAGGACTTCTCAGAGCCACCCTAGCTGTTAATACATCTGAGTTTATTTCATCTGTCTTCTTGGCTGGACTACAAGCCCCGAGAGAGTAGGCACGTGCTCCTTCTGCCACCCCATCTCAGGACCTGGTAGGCAGCATGCAGCAATAAAGGCAGTAAGGCCTGGACATCCCTGCCGAGAGCTGGCATGCCCCAAGGGTCTGATGCCCAGCCAACTTCAAGGCAAACACATATTTTTTTGAGAGCATGACCATATGAACCAAGGAGTCTGTGAAACATGGCACATACTACTGTTCACGTGGGTGTGAGCCCCTGTTAGAAATGTGTCTCTGTAAAGGTGGCTGTGGATTTCTTCCCTACACTGAGAAGGCTTTTTAGTTCATTAGTCTATGAAGGACAGTGAATCAGTGTCACAATACTGCAAATCAATACAGCTCATCCAAAGGGGCACTCCGAATGTGCCTCAGCTCTCCTGCCGTACATGCACCACGCTTTCCTTCTCTTGTACCCGGAGCTGTGTTGTGTGTGGAGATACACACAAGCACATATCAGAGGGCAGCGAGGCCTGCAAACTGCACATTTTCCATATACCCCTGGCTGTCACAGTCTGACCCCACATTTAAAGCTGGCAAGACACAAGTCCCAGTGCTGGAGGAAGGGGAGGCAGGGAGAATGCACCCAACAGTAAGGAGAGAGGGGTGCCAGCCCGTTCCCTCTCAAGTGGAGCTCTGCCTTATTAGCAGACAGAGAGAGCTTTTCCTCTCCAGAGAATGCAAGCTTTGTGAGAGCTGCTCCTTGGCAGCTCTGGAGTGGGGGCCTTGATTTACCCGGGGCAGCGTGGCTGGCTGTTGTACAAACATCCACTCATGCATGTGTGGCTTCCCTCCGCACCCTCAGCCTCGCTCCAGCTGGGAAGGTCAGCATAGGGTGCAGCCCGCGGGTCTCTGCACTTCAACGGTCAGCAGAATGGCACAGCTGGGGCACTTTGAGTGACAGAAACATTTCAGTCTGAGCAGTGTCTCCTGTGTAAGAGCGGGAGGGCGCATGGAAACTGGCAGTGGCCAGAGACACTGCAGCCTTTCACAGAGCACTCCGGGGCTGGCGAAGAAGGAAGCCACTGTGGCTGTGCCCCATGAAGAGCAGGAGGCTGGCTCAAAAGGAAGGAGAGGCAGTGGCAGCCCTGTGGGCACAGCTTTCTGTTCCTTATTTATGCTCCTGTCTTGTCCCACTTCTAAAAAAAACCCACACACACGGTATGGGGAGATGGAGAGCTGTGTGTCTGCCAATTTAAAAGAGGCATTCACCCTTCACGTTTTATTATGCAGTAAGAGAAGCAGAGTCTGTTCCCCCTTGCCCTCCAGACATTTATGTCTCCATACTAATGATGCTGCTCCCTCCCAGTAAGTGTTCCCTTATATGGTACTTTTTTCCCCAGAGACCTGAAGGAATTAGAATT